GTGAGGTGTCTTAGAATTTGTGTCAACTTCAGTCCTAGAAACAGATTTTGGCTATGTAACAGATTTACTTTATGTTACTTTATTTGTGTGTCTTTAAACTCTTAACAGCAACTTTCCTTTCAAGTTACAAATGAGAATTCCAAAGTGGTGTTGTAAGAGACGGCAAAAAAATGTAATAAGGAGTCTTAGGCTGTGGCATGTATGAGTTCACAGCCTGTTGGTTACTCCCTCAGAATGTCCAGGGCAATCTTAATTGCTCTCCATTGTTTGTGCATTTGCAAATTCTTTTTAGGAAGTTTGATGAAGCATTCATAATGTGGGTTGGTACAGAAAACAAACTCATGTAGCTAGATCAGGAATTGATATTAGAATAAGGAAGGCACCATTGTTTTGAGGCTTTCTTATTTGTTGGCAAATTCAATCCATTTAAATTTTGAACACATGGCTTTCAAGGTGTAAGTTCAATATAGCATAGAAGGCAGACAGTGATAGAATTGATGGGAGTATAATATCATAGGTGCTAATCTAGGAGAAACAAACACAGATGGCAAGCCTTTTAGAGATGATAGCAAAGGGGCTGAAAGGTGGTATTGAAATCAGAAAGCTGGAAAGAGGTATAAAACACATGCTAACTTGAAGAGCGCACAGGAGTCTCTGAGAGTGTTAACCAGACAGGAAGAAAGTATAGACTAGAGGGCATGTCTTTGGGGAGTGAGCCGCTGGTACTGGAGGGTAGGAGAGAGTGAGGCCCACCAAAACATTCTGTTAGTGATGAATGAGATGATTGTAAAATGGAGTACTAGAGGAGTGAGAGGTAGGGAGAATGGAGAGGAAGAGAGAGGCTGAAATATGTGACCCTGTAAACAATTTTTTGTGTGTTCCTGTCTCCCTGTGTCTCTTTATCATGCTCCTCATTTCCTTTTTACTTTTTGCATATACACATAGAAGTTTATTCAGCTGTAAAGAAAAATAAAGTCATGGAATTCACAGGAAAATTTGAGAACTATGTCAAGTAAAATAAACCAGACACACAAAAAAGCAAAGCTTGACATACTGGTTCCCTTTTGTGGACTCTAGTAGCAAGTGTGTGTGTGCAAGTGTGTGCATGTGTGTGTGTTTCTTATGTATTAATCCCATGATCACTTTGCCCAATCCAGCTCAAACCTCTCTTCCTTCTGTCTTCCTTCGATAACTTATTTGTCAGTCAGATTTAAGTGAATGTGGTAAACTTCAAAACAACTTTAACACACGCATTTGTGTGCATTTATAAAAATGTAAATATGAAATGTATAATTTTATATAACTAAGGGGCTAATAAAAAACACTTTGGAGATAATGAATATAACCACATTGACCTAGTTTGTTAGCAACAAAAATAAGACAATGAAAAAGGTAAAGACAAAACATTCTTCTTTATTTGCATGATGATGGGAAGATGGCCGAGTCATAGAGAGCATTTTCCTCCACAGGAAGCAAATTCAGTTCCCAGCACACATGTCAGGAAGCTCACTACCACTTGTAACTCCAGCTCCAGCAGTTTCAGCTCCATCTTCTGGCCTCTTTGGGTACCTGCAAATACATACACCCACACCCACACCCACACACCCACACCCACACACTCACACACACACTCACACACATACATACACACATACACACACTCACACACACACAC